ACTTTAGAGTTCTATTGGACCATACTGGTATAGACTTTTTCAACTGTGATGTGACTAACCCCGGAAACCCCCTGGTGGTGAATGAGCTTAACAGGAGAACGAGGCCTATAGGAGGGCACTCGATGGGTGACTTGTCCCTTTCTGCAAGGCATAAAGTCATGGAGGGAGGGCCCGAGTTCATGGGGTTTCCAAGGACCCTTCTGTTCAGAGTCCACAGTGACGGCAAGTGGTAAGTGGGGTCTCATCCTCTCAGGGTCCTGAATCACAGGTCACAATTATTTAGATCAACGCAAAGGAATATTTCCCTGTGGAAGATGAATCACAGACACACTTTGATGTGCTGATCAGTATCTTATGAGCTTAAATTAGTTTTTCTGGCTGGGCAGTGGTGCCGCACGCCTTTAATCCCAGCATTTAGGAGGCAGAGGCAGGCGGATCTCTGTGAGTTCGAGGCCAGCCTGGGCTACAAAGTGAGTTCCAGGAAAGGCACAAAGCTACACAGAGAAACCCTATCTTGAAAAACAAACAAACAACAAACAAAAAAATTAGTTCTTCTGTTGTGCTTGGGATAAGACCCTGGGCTCTGGGAGGCTAGCGCTCCACCACTGAGCCACATCCCCCTCGACCTAGTCCTTTCCCCCTCGGTATGCAGCCAAGGATGGCCGTGAACTCCTAACCCTCCTGCCTCCATCTCTCAAGATGCTGGTATTTTAAGCATGCCCCACCAGGCCTGGTCCTTAAGCTATTCTTGAGCTCATGGACGTGGGCTCACCCTGATGATTCGGGAATCAGCCTGCTGCTCTACCCACTCCCAGTCCTTCAGAGTCTGAGCTACAGGACAGCAGGTCCCCTGAGGATAGGACCCTGGAACACTGGATGAGCGAAGAAAATGTTAAAATTTCACAGTGGTACCATCTTCTCCGTTACCAAGCTGGCCAGAGCCCTCAGTGAAGGCCATGAGGCTGGGCCCCTGCTCCAGATCTCCACACTCCCCCAGGGGAACAGAAAAACCATCTCAAGTTGGTGTTCCTGTTCTCTCTCTCTCTCTCTCCTCTCTCTCTCTTTCTCTCTCTCTCTCTATCTCATTTCAAGACAGGGTTTCTCCGTGTAGTTTTGGTGCCTGTCCTGGATCTTGCTCTGTAAGACAAGGCTGGCCTCGAACTCACAGAGATCCTCCTGCCTCTGCCTCCCGAGTGCTGGGATTAAAGGCATGCACCACCGCCACCACCGCCACCACTACCCAGCTTCCTGCAGTTTCCTAACCTGGACCAATGGATGTCTTGGGAGTGACTGCATGTTGACACCACCAGCCCATCCTGCCCCCTTGAGAGTGGGTCCAGGATGAGGTCACTCACTCAAGGACACCAGGGCCCCGGCAGAGGTGCAAAGGGCGTTTCCCATCCTGGTCAGGGGTGTTGGGGTCCGCTCCGGCTACCAGCAGCACATGGACGCAGGCGGAGTGACCTGCAGCACAGGCTTCATGCAGGGCAGTGCGGCCTCCAGGGGCACTGTCCGGCTTGGCTCCACGCCTCAACAGCAACTGAAGAACTTCAGTGTGGCCCCGGCTGGCTGCCACGTGCAGCGGAGTGGTCAGCTCCTCTTCATACGTCAGAGACCAGAGTCCTAGGGAGAGGGGGACAGAGGTCTCAGATCTCGCGGGATGGGGAAGAGCTGCCAGGCAAAGGGATGAAGCTGATAGAGGCAGAACGAAGGAACCCGGCTTGGTCTAAAGCCTCCCCTCCCCCGCTCGGACCCCTCCACGCCCCGCCCATACTCAGAGCACGGATGTTGAAGCGGAAATCTCTCCATCGCTCTGGGTCGCTGGTATCAAAGATGGAGTCAGGAGCCAGGCCAGTGCTGGAGTCCGCAAGGATTTGAGAGACCGAGCCCACATCCCCGGCCAGTACTGCCTGCCAGAAGGCAAGGGCAGGTCCTGAAGCCGTGCGGGTGATGATAGGTCCCAGGCCAGGCTCGTGGTGCTCCTCAGACCCTCTGTCAGGCTTCTCCACCAGCCTGGCACAGAGGGTGTGTCGGTCACCCTGAGGCTCTCCCTGGCACTCCTCTGGGGACCAGCTCATGAGCATATGGGGAAAGGGAGAGTATCAGGGAGGAAGAGGAAGGGACTCTATGCAGAGAGGGGGAAACACAGGCAGAGGGAGCAGAGGTCCCGTGTCCCACGCTGGAACCTGACCTGGCCACAGTGTCCGACAAGAGCTATTCTGGGCTCCACATGACTTCTATCTTGGGCCAAGGTCTAGATTGGGAAAGTTTGGTGTGAGGGAACAGCAGCTAAGGACTTCAGCTTGCTCTCAGTCCTTGGGACCCCTGAGGCAGCCAGCCCTGCTCCCACCCCTGGCCTCCCCAGCCCCAGCTGCCCCTCACCCCTCTGGTGGCTGCTCCAGCGAGGCTCAGCTGCCCGGCTCTCCAGCAGTAGGTCAGCTGTGCTGTGGGGGGGGAACAGGTCCTGCAGCCTCGCCAGGTCCCCAGTGTACAGTGCGTTCTGCAGAGCCATGTCGCGGCAGAGCAGTGGTGATGACCGAGGGGTCCTCTGGGCCGAATAGGACTGAGCTCTCCAGATCTGGCAGGTAAGGGCAGAGGGGAGACACCCCAGATGATGTCTTCGGTGGGGTGGAGAACTCCTTCCCCCAGGCATGGCTGGTTTCTAGGAGAGGGAGCCAAAAGAGCAAGACTTGAGCCACGCTGAAGTTGGACTGTGCAGGCAATGCTGGGCCCGGCCAGGGGGAGCACGCTATGGGAGGAACAGGAGGGCCACCTGGCCAGCTGTAAATAGCGCTGGCCTCTGAGGGCCCAATGGAATGCTCCTGCTGGAGAGAGGAGAGAGAGGAGCAGGACAGAGTGGTGCGGAAGCCACTCCGAGCTTCACTCCCAGGCTGAATGGCGTCAGGGTTGATGCTCTGCCCAAGCCATTGCCTCGCAGACAAAAACAAAAAGTTCCAGAGGAGAGGGTGTGCCTAGGGACACACGGGTAACTTGCCCCAGCGCCAGGACTGGACCTGTGATCCTAAGCCACTTGTTCCATCATCAGTCAGCTCCAGCTGCCTAGTCTGTGACCTCCAGGGAGGCTGCTGATTCCTGTTCCTCGAATACAACCTTCCGCTCCTAAACACAGAGGAACTTGGTGTAGATGAGCACCAGAGACTCTGTCTGAGGCACTCTCAGGGGGGTCTCTGGAAGACAGACTTCTGTCCAGGAAAACAGGGCTCAGTCCTCAGGCAGCAAAAGAATCACTCCCATGCCCATCCCAGCTGCTGACCTGCTCTGATCATCAACGCCTCTTCCAGATGCTGGCCCTCGTTCCCATCCCAGGCACCAACTTCCCACCCAGCTCAAGTTCTGGCCTCCCATCATGGTACCAGCCCCCCATACACATCCCAGGCATCAGCTTCCCCTGCCCATCTCAGGTGCCGACTTCACTCCCTGGATGCCTCCCAGCATCTCCTACATGGCATCTCTACCCCTCCATAATTGTACGGAAGTCTTAGCTGGAAGTGACATAGAAAACCTCTCTGACCATTCAGCCCAGAAGATAGACTGCTTTTGTTGAGGAAGGTGGGAATAAGAGGCAAAAGAATGGAGGAAGGAAAAGCAGAGGGAAGCTCTTGGGCGCGGTTCTGTGGAGTCTGCCTGCTGCAGGCTCTGTGCTCTCACCTGGTCTGGCTCACACTGGCAGGGTGCCGTGGGCACTGACTGACTTTTCTCATACCCTCTGTACAAGGTTGGCATGTCTGCCTTCCGAGAAAGCAACTGTGTCTTCTTTAGCCCTTGCTGACACGGTAGTGCTGACCGCTTGAGTTTCCTACCCCCTAGGAGTGGGGGTCTTTGTAGAAAAGAGGTTGGAATAGTTACTTTTCTGCTTGCCATGACAAAACAAAAATAAAAACAAAAAACCATCACCACCAACAAAACCCCACACAACAACAACAAACAAACTTGAGAAAAACAACTTAAGGAAGGCAGGATTTATTCTGGCTCACAGTTCGGGGGGATACAGTCCATGATATTGGGCAGGTGGGCAGCAGAAACGGGAGGCAGCTGGTCACAGTGCTTCCGGGAAGCACAGAGTAGAGAACGCTAGTGCCCAGCTTATCTTCTCTTTCGCGTTCAGTCAGTATACCAACCCGTGAAATGGATCCACCTACATTCAGGGTGCATCTTCCCACCTCAATCAACCCAGTCTACAAACTTCCTCCCAGGTATACCCAGAGATTTGTGTCCAAGGTGACTCTAGATCCTGCCTGCCAAGGTGACAGTCAGTATTAAGCATTCACCATCACGGAGGGGAGGACCACTCAAAGGGCATTGCCTCTACCCCTCTCTACGGTCCACCGTAGCCTCTCCAGCTCCACCTCCATTCCCACCCGAGCGTCCTCACCTCCTTCACCCCCTCACCCTGGAGATGCTTGGGCTAGAACTGAGTTCCAGGTCGGGAAGAACCTTAGAGGATGTCCTGTCCGACCTCTCCTCACTTTATAAAGAAGGAAACAGGCTCAGACAGGTTCCAGGGGGAGTGATTGCCAGTGGGCGATGGGCGGGGCTCACGCCCTTCTAGACTTGGCATTTCTCCCTTTGGGTCCTCTCGCTTCTGTCCTTCCCTTCCTGGGTCTCCCCTCTCCACCCACTCCTTGAGAAACTTGAGCAAGTGAAGTGGAGAGCCAGCACAGGAAATGACAAGGTAAAGCCACAGGTGTGGTAGGAGGGGCTCTGTCAGCCGGAGCGGAGGCTGGATGAGCCAGGGTGGAGAGGTGGGGGAAGGGGGCGGGGCCCAGGGACAGGAAGCCATGAAGGTGGTGACCAAGAGAAGAAAGCCCTCAGGAGCCACCTGGGCCTTTATGTGTCTGTCCCTCCCCTTGGCCCTGGAGGCCCCTCCCATTCACCACAGCACCCCCCACAGGTCCACCATCACTTCCTCTTCTTCTTCTCCTTTGCCAGTCTGGCCTCCTCCGCCTCCTGTTGGTCCTTGCTAAACTTCATATTCTTTCTTCCCAGGGGAGTCTTGAAATACCATTCCTGGGGTGGCAGAGGAGCGGGGACTGAGTCCACTGGATGCAAACCCTCCTTTCCCCTGGCAGGCAATTTTCTTCCATCACCCCCCAGGTTTGGGGGGTGGGGTGCGCAGGTGCCCCATCACAGCGGGGGCTTCTCCTAGTTTCCAGTAGGTACTCCGGGCCCCAGTGCCAGCTGTTCTTGAGAGGTGCATGTCCCTCCACCCCCACAGACCTCTGTGGCTCCTGATGTCAACCTGCCCCCAGGGATGGTCATCAAGTCCACAGTGACAGCTAGCGCCAGCAGCCCAGGTGGCACTCGCCAGCTTCTTTGCTCAGGCTCCGACACCTTGGTCCTTTTCCCTGTATTCCTAGTCCCTTTCCCAGCAGAAGCCCAAGTTCATTTACCCTGACCATCTCCTGGCAACAGGGCCACAATGGGAGGAAGCCCAGGCCTGCGGAGGGCTGACTCCAGGCTGGCACTGCTGAGCCCACTGGCCCTGCCCTGGCACTTTCACCTTCAGGGATTCCTCCTCTTCCCTGTACACTGGATCCAGCCTCGCCAGGTGGCTCACGAACTCAGAGGCCACCAGCGGCTTCTTGGACAGCTGAAGGATCCGCCGCTCGGTCAGCACTGACTGGATGACTTGTAGAATGTGACCGGGTGTGTAGCCGTCAGACACCCGAGCCAGGGCACTGACGTCCAGACTCTGGGTCAGCTGTGTCCCCCGGTTCTCTATCATGCGCTTCCAGAGCACTGCAGGCAGAGGAGAGGGTGGGGTGCAAAGGTCAGAGGGCAACAGAAAAGCCAGGCCCACGGACAGCTCTGGCTGTGTCTAAGCAGCTCTGAGCCCCCCGGAGAGCAGGAAGGTGTGGGACCTGGAGAGGTGGGGATGATGTTCTCGTTACATACCCAGTGTCCATGACACGGAGGTCAGGAGCCAGTGAGCCTGGCTGCTAGCGTAAGGTCTTTCCAGACCTGTCATCTGGTGCTAGAGCTGAGGCTCGACGCAGCAGTGGGGGATGGGGAGAGGGCAGGGGCTCAGAAGGGTCGTGGTCCCTGGGTTCCACTCCTGGCCTCACCATAACGAGAAGCGTAATCGGGCCGGGGTATGAAGAGGATGCGCTCGTAGAATCGGCACAGCCCCTTCAACTCCGCCAGCTGTGGACGGTCGGTCGTGCCTATCAGCATCACACGGTCACCAGGGCTCAGCAGTTTGGTGGCCTTCATGAGGTCCTTCTTTATTCTCTTTGGGTCCAGCTGCTCCAAGGAGAGAAGGTTGCAGGGTTGAGGCATGGTGACGGGGCCTGGGAGAGCCCCGTTCTCAGAGCACATGACATCAGCTCTGAGTGTCCCAGGCCTTCTAAAGCAGGCATGACAAGAACGGAGACCGTGAGCAAGACGCCAGTCTCGTTTTCAGTGACTTGAGCAGGATTCCCAGCCTCGCCCCAGGCTCTGGTGGTCCCTCACAGCCCTTTCCGCCCACACTCCTCACCCTCCTTTCTTCCTTTGGGATCTTCTTATAGAAGGTTTTCTCGGTGTTTCCAATCCAGATGACAGAGGGCTGGTAGACCCGGGCCACCTGGATAGGTTGGAGCGTAGAAACCAGGTGTCAGGCATCCCGGGCAAGGGGCAGACCCCAGCAGCTGACCCCAGGCAAGGGGCAGACCCCAGCAGCTGACCCTGGGCAAGGGGCAGACCCCAGCAGCTGACCCCGGGCAAGGGGCAGACCCCAGCAGCTGACCCCGGGCAAGGGGCAGACCCCAGCAGCTGAGCTGACCCCGGGCAAGGGGCAGACCCCAGCAGCTGACCCTGGGCAAGGGGCAGACCCCAGCAGCTGAGCTGACCCCGGGCAAGGGGCAGACCCCAGCAGCTGACCCTGGGCAAGGGGCAGACCCCAGCAGCTGAGCTGACCCCGGGCAAGGGGCAGACCCCAGCAGCTGACCCTGGGCAAGGGGCAGACCCCAGCAGCTGACCTTGCATCCCTAGCTCCCATTTGCTCTCCTCTGCCTTCATCTCCTCCCACATCCCCAGCATAAGGCTCCCACAAGGGCTGCTGGGCAGACATGGGCGCAGGCCTCTGTATCTCAGCGCTATATAGGTCATCCCTAGAGCGCTCAGAAAGCCCCCCTGCGGCTCTCTGCACCCGGAGAAGTCGCCCTGCCCCTCAAGGCTGCAGACCTTGAAGACAGTGTGCACCAGCAGTTGTGCCCCATTCTTTCCAGGGTATTTGCCCATCACGTTGCCAGGTGACAGGTCAAACAGGTTGGCACCGGTTTCTGTGCATACCGCATGGACCAACATCTTCTTCCCCATGCCAGAGGGTCCCACCAGGAGGATGGAGCGGACATGGGGAGCCATGGAATGTATGTCGTGGGAGCCTGGGAGGAAGTAGAGAGGGCTGGGGCAGGCCATGGACCAAAACTGGGCCGTAGGCTGTAGAAGACCCTTGAGTTCTGCCAAGGCCTGGGGCTGAGAGTGTGAGATGCAGGTGTGGGCTGTGCTGCCCCCCCCTGCCTCCCCCAATACTTGAGCAGCTTCCCCCAGACTGCAGCAGCGGCGGCCCTGCTTAGCAACCCCCGCAGTCGGGAACCGAGTGTGAGGCCAGGAGGGACCGCTACTGTTTTCCATACCACACATTTCCACCCCTGGGTTATGGTGGGTGGCGCTGAAAGGCACATGACACACTGGTTTGGAAAGCTCCTGGTCTCTGGCATTTAACAAGCTCTCAGGGATGCTCTTCTGAAAAAACGAGACTGACTACAGGGTGTCACTTGGGATGGAGCAAGTCACGGATGCCCTTGATCTCTGGGGTGGCCCAATCTGAGTGTAACCGCAGAAGGATCTGTGACAGTCGCGAGTCCTATACCCACTAAGGCTAGGGAGAATCAAGCTTGCATACCCCGCTCAGCCATGCTTTCCTGGTCCTACCCAGCCCTGGCTTTTCACTCCCCTGGGGTTCTCACCCAGCCGAAGAACCCCGTACAAGGCCATGTTCTGTCGTATATCAAACAGGGAAGGCATGGGCATCTTGTTTGCCAATGTTAGCGTGGACCCAAGATAGAGGCAGTCACCTGTGGGGAGAGGGAGGGGCCACCTGATGAATGGCACTCCTGTGGGTGTCCGGAGGAGAGATCTGCTGGAGGAGCGGCTTCAGGAGGGGGCAAGGGTCAGGAGGCCTCCCTGGGGGGGGGGGGGCCTCACCAATGTAGTCATTCAGTGTCACCAGCACACTCTTCTTTATAAGGCCGATGACAACAAGCTCTTCAAACAATGAGTCCACAGTCCTGGGGAAGAGAGGTCCGGGAGGACCTCACAGACAGTGAGAGAGGGTGAGGGAAAAGGAAGGTGGAGGTGGGGTGCGGGGCTTTGGCACAAGAAGAGGGGACAAGGGGTCCCCTGGTAACATTCTGTGATCAGAAATGTCAACAGAGCTTCTGGACAGCCAGAATCAGAAGATGGGGTCCCGGCCACGGTGTCAAGGGACAGGTTCTCCATAGCGGGTGCCCTGTGCAATGCGGCAGGAGCCCACGCCCCCTGTGACAAATGCCCACCAGCCTTTCATGTCCACCATTTGAAATCTGGGTTCAGTGCAACCCCCTCTCCCTCTTCCCAAGCCAAGTGTAGGGTGAGAATGTCCTTGTGAGTCGTGGTCCTCGGGCACCTGGCGTTAGTGGGGAGAAGGCTTTGGGCAGGTCCTTCAGTCCCCCAGGGTGGTTAACACAGGCACAGATGGAAAGGACGGAGCCAAGCAAAGGTTGGAGGGATAATAAGTATGATGATTATAAACCCCATGCACGTTATTCCGTGTTGTCAGCGTGTGTGTGTGTGTGTGTATGTGTGTGTGTGTGTGTGTGTGATGTACACTTGGCATGCAAACATGTAAGTGTGGGTGTGTGCACACAAGCATGTGTGTGCGCATGCATGGTGAAGTCAGAGGTCAACACCAGGTTATCTTTCCCGGATTGCTCGATCCTACCTTTATTTTATGAGACAGGGCCTCTCACTGAACTGAGAGCCTATCAATTTTGCTTGACTAGCTACCAATAGTTTCAGGGATCCACTTGTCTCCTCCCCCCTCACACACACACCTCATCCCTGATTCAAAAGCAGGCACCAACCACGTCCGACTTTTTTGTTGTTGTTGTTTTTGTTTTGTTTTTCAAGACAGAGTTGCTCTGTGTAGCCCTGCCTGTCCTGGAACTCACTCTGTAGCCCAGGCTGGCCTCGAACTCAGAGATCTGCCTGCCTTTGCCTCCAGAGTGCTGGGATTAAAGCGTGTGCCATCACCACCCAGAGGTGTTTTCATTTTTAAAGGCACTTGGTGGACAAGGTTAGGGGTTCAGCGAGGTGAGGTAACTTCTCTAATGTCACACAGCAACAGAACCAAGCCCAGAAATCAGGCTTTCTCTCCTGGACCCCCTCCCCAACACAGCGCAAGGCATGTGCAGCAGGACCCTCTACCTGTCCGGGGTCAGATCTTTCTCCTTCCTCTTCTTCCCACTTTTCTTCGCAGCTTTTTTCTGGTGGGCAATGAATATACAGGTCACTGCTTTTTATTGCCTCCTCACCCCCGGGCCCTCCGCTCCCCAGCCCTGGACCCTTATCTGCTTTTGGAGCCTTCAGGGGCCTGCCCTCCTCCTTGTCCACAGCCAGACGCAAATTCTTCAG